TATATATACTGAAGGATTTGATCGAAATATATCATTCGCAAAATCTGAGTTAATTGTAGCCAGCGTGCATCAACTGGTCAAAATTTTCATTAAATGGAGTAATGCTCTTGGAAATCGAAAATTATGAAAATTTTTATTACAAGCAGATTCCGATACGCAGGAATTTCCCTTTTTTCCAATAATTGATGAATTTCCTGATTGTGAGCTAAAGGAGCTTACTTGTACAGCTGCGGACTTGTTGGCAAAACAACGATAGAGAAGCAGTCAGCTGTGCAAAACGTACTCGGTCGCCCCGATATGCATGTGGAATAAATGGCAACAAATATTTGAGGTGATATTTTCAAAGAAACTAGTTCCTTTCATGAACATATTGCATAGATGTAAATTATAAAGCATGCCTTCTCATTCAAATTCACTCACAATTGACACATACAAATTATGCGGTCCACTTCCAATTGTTCGTTTCTGTAATGGGATTGTCAGTGAAGCTATAATGCTTGAGCCGGACATGCACTGTTGAAATCGTTTCTGCTTATGATAAATTCTTCCAGTGTGCATACTGTTCGGAATCTCATTCGCCATGTGATAATCAAACAAAAATTATTTTATTTGTTCGCAAGGAGCTTTGAAGATTTTTCAATTTGACTGCAATAATTGCAATTCTTTCAGAAAACTCTATCTAAATCTTGTAACCAGTTGTCAGTCATTTTGGAAATAAGACTACTTATACAGACCCAGACTTTCGTAACAATTTAGCGATTGAATTTGCTATCGTAAATGGACTGAATGCATTGCCGATAGTAGCAAGAGTCTGCGATTCTTTATGATGGCTTCTTTAGCTAACAATATGCAAACGTGTGTTGTTTAGAGATCACGGTGACAGATACCGCGATCATGACGGCACCTTCATGAATATTATTGAAAACATATTCAATAATTCTAACACCTGGATCGTTTTGAGCACCGCATTCCAAATTGCCATTTTTGGACCCAGATTCATTTAAAATGAATTACCATTAGCACCTTATCAAACGTTCCAATTTCACACAAGCACATTTCTAGTATTATAGTGCACTCAAACATTGATGCTGTTATTCACACTTTGTAAAATTTATTTTGCTTCAATAAATCATAAGCAAGCTACATGTGAGGCTACGTTTGATTCACTATTATAACAGCTACCAGATCTTATACAGTTCGAATTGAAGTTAATCATCGGCATCATTTGTTCAATGTTAATCTTCCACAGATGCATATCACGATTCATTAGGCGGGTTCATAATAGAGCAGTAGTGTGGCTGCTGTCATGAAGACAGCTAGAATTGTGTTCATGCGGAAGATGTGATCTGCAGCATTCGAGCGAGGAGTAGGGATCGTGTAATGCCACATGTCGGTGGACGTTGAAATGACATCAGCACAGAGCTGAAACAAAAATCTCACATGAAACAGCAATACCTCATCAATTATATCATTGCAGTGGTATGCCAAAAATTCTTTTCTTGATTGCAATCCAGTTTTGAAGATTCAAAATGGTAATGAATGAATGAAACTTGGACACAATGATAACTTAAACTCACCACGGCTGGATCTCCTGGATAGAATACCTTGGCTGCTTCACGCATCTTCTCATAGGGACACATTTTGTTGCTGAGATTGTGACAACCTCAAAGCATATATTGATGAAATGGCATATGGACTACCAATTCGAAAAAAATATCTTTATCTGAATGAGAAGATCCAGCTGGATCGACTCGTGCAAAAAATTCATGTTACTGGGCAAACTTGAGAAGACGGTAGGCTCGAAAACGGCAAACTGTATAGCATTGAGTATATGGCTATATCTTCTCATCTAATCATAATTGCTCGAAGAAAATATATGATATTCCGAACATAGAAATTCTGAGCAATCGAATGGTGCAAAGACATTCAATTATTACCGGGCAAGCTTTAGAGTACGGGTACCTTGAAGATGGTAACCCCCTTAGCCTATAATGATACATATATTTATCTACAGTGATCACTAGTATATGAACAGAGATTACGGTAGGCCCGAAGATGGAAAACCGTATAGCATTTGGGAAATTGATATAGTTCCTCAGAAAAGCAAAATCGCTCAACAAAATATATGTTTTTCTGAATGAAGAGATC